TGTGCCTGTTTTGTTTCATGGAGACTCAAGGTATACCACATTATCTGCACTTGTGTTTACTGACTAAACGTATAGTTTTTTCTTAAATTGGTAAATATGTGGTCAATCGCGCATATTATTTGATTTTTAGTACTTACTAATTATTTTAATTCTTTAATAATAAAGATTAAAATACATCTGTAAAACAAAAAATATTTTTAAACTTCAACCGAAAAAAGTCAATTTCATGAAAAATTTAATTTTTGCTACTGATTCTCAACCTGAGTTAAATAAAATAAACAGATCATTGCTGTCTTATTTTTTTGAGTACAGCAAACTATAGAACATGTTTCAGTTATTCTAAAATTTTCAGTTTACAAAAAAGTGACTATACCACATTTGCATAACCTCCTCTAGACCCATACAACTATAATTCGATATTTTGTTTTATATTAGCTAAAGGAAACATAAAAGTTAATTATAAAAGTATATTATATTATATTTTTAGAATAAAAATCTGCTTAAATATTTTATTTTTAATCGGCTGAAAATTATGGAGAAAAACGTCTATAGATTTTTAAAATAAAAATCGACTTAAAAATTGTATTTTTAATCGGCTGAATAATAAAGAAAATCCGATGTTCGAAAACTTTTGTGTACTCAAAAAAAAAATTCTAAAACAAATATATAAAGGAAAGCTCTAAAAACAATTTCAATAAATAGGTTTTGATTAATTTATGGTCTGTTCCCGCACTGCAAAAAAGTACTAATTTGTACAATTGTGGCTGGCTTCCAAAATGTTAATTGATTTGCATTCGAACAATGCATCCTGTTTCATAATGCAACAGTACAACATATTTACATTGCATACTGTTTCAAAATGTCGCTGCCATGCATTTGCAACGCAGTTAAAAAGCAATCAAGCATCGGTTTTATTGTTGATACATTGTTTTTTTACGAGCACAAAATTAAATATCCAAAGAAAATAATGTTAAGGCAGATTCAAAAATGTAATTTTAGTAAAATATTTTAGTAAAAATATTAATGTATGTAGCAAATAAATGTATTTTAACGTTGTTCATTGTGAAGATTTTTCTCTTTTGTAATTATTTGGGCAGTATTAAACACATTTTTACTTTTATTTAACTTTTGTAAACACATCGAATTTTGTCCGGATTTTGTTTTGACAATTAATTTCAACTTGTAAATTACAAAAATATTGCCAAATAATATTTTACAGCCACGCTTTGTTTATTTCATAAAACAGCTAATTTGTTAGTGATACATTGCATCACATTCATTCTATATTGTAAATATATGCAAAGTTCATAGTTGCAATGTTTGGTAACTTGGCATGTATACGAAGTTTAAATACCGTAGTGTTATTGTATACAAACATTGCATTGATACATTTTGGAAGTCAGCCTGTCTTTCTTTTTCATAAAGGGAAACAATTTTGCGTAGTAAAAATGTTACTTTCTTGGCGGTTCTGGAACATAAAATGTTGACATTCCCTATTTTTCATTGACACAAACAAATAAAAAGATAGAACATTTCCAAAATAAACAACAGATGTCACTATGTGTCATAATATGATACCGTAACAAAGGTATACAATGGCCTAAATATATAAAGGTAGAAATGACATTACAAAGTAGATAAGATTGGCTTTTTCGCTCCCCCATCATACTAGAACAGCAGATGTGATTGATGCTTTTCTCCCGATTGATCATTACTGTGAAGTGTCTTGCCATGTTATCAGCGTCCAAAAGTTATGGAATCAGTATGGTGATTTATAGATAAATAATATATCACATACCGAAATCCAAAAGCTATAACAATCTCCCCATATTATAATGGCTACGTTCTAATTCATCGTGCATGTGGCTCTGATCATTACTGGAATCATATATTGTTGTCTACCAAATATAAAACGTCACCATGCACAGTTAGAAAAACTAGTAAAAATGCAAAAAGTAGATGGCAATACTTTAAAATCAACACAACAGGCAATCAATTTGTCATATGAACAGAATGACTTATTGCATTAGTTTTTTTTTATTTTGGCATTCTAGGCCATAACGAAGAGTTGATTTTTCTTGTTGACAAATGATACCCTACCTTGTATAATTGTACAATGGTTTCATTCATAACAAAGAATTAATTCCAGACGAATGCTGTAAAAAATCATGTTCATTTCAATAACATTTGAATAAATTTTAATTTAATCTAATGGGTCGATTACGGATGGCAACCATAGTTTAGTTGCGTTGTCAGTTGCCAAATTTGCATTATGGATGGCAACTGTTGTCAACTTCAGTTGCTTCAAATAGAATTTTTCGGCAACCATTTATTTCTGGTTGCTGTTTATAATAACTGAACTTTGTAGGCTTCCCATAATGGTTAATATTACTACAAAAGAACAATTTGAAGCCACCAAACCAAAGCCACTATCGATGATGTGTGGAAGGCCATTTCAGAAGACCTTAACTGCTATGGCCCACCAACACGCATTCCAAATGAATTGCAGAAAGTGGCGAACATCTTCTTTTGGGTCCATGATATGTACGTGTTAGTCATCAATACATCCGACAACACCCCGGAACTTTTCGAATAAAAAAATTTTATTCTTCCCTTTTTCCTCCTCCGTTAATTTGGATACAATCAAAATTTTACACAGTTGTTTCTCTATTAGCCGGATAAAGGGCTAAACAGAATGTTCGCGTTGAGCATTTTTTGTTATTGCGTTAACGCACGCAAAAAGTTAAAATATATTTAACGCACATCAACTTCGAGCGTTTGTGTTATTGTTTCCTTGTGGTTGTTGTATTTTCGATAACACATAACCCAACGGATGGCTCAACGCAAGGTGTATTTAATAAGGTAGCCGCATCGGCCCAGCTGTTGGACAAATAAATGTCAAAAATGTTGTTGTAATGTTGAACCAAAAAATTAAAAAACAAAATTATTAATGAAAATCTCCGAATTTCGAAGAGCCTTTTTGGCACTACTTTTATTAACATTTTCTACAAGAATTTGTGTAAAAAATCTTGTCAATCTGTTTGTTTTTGCAAAATATTTTTGACATATCAAAATACAACAACCGATGTTTGTTGTAGAAATTCGCCGATGCGGCTACCTTGTATATCTACCTTGGCTCAACGCGAGCATTCTGCTTAGCCCTTAACATTGTCGGTTGAGCCATGCCAAGGTTGAAGTCATTGCTATGGGACTTTTGAAAACTTCCCTCCACAAAAAACATCAGAGCTGCACACATTTTTAAGAGAGGAGGAATTGCTGTTGACCGCCAGGCTTTTCGGAAATCAGGGTTTAAGGCTTCATCTATGTACACAACGGCATCTTTTGGTAGTCGAAAATACGCCTTCAAGCTAATATGAGCAGTTGATTGAACATTTCTCTAAACGTCAGCATCTACTCACAGAACTGATGGTAGTTCTAATAGATTTATCTCTTAAATGACACACCTTGAACATAATTTTCATCATCAAAAAATAGTTCCACTGAGCTTATCATCACATATAATTAGTTTTTCTGAAATATTTTATTCATTTTTTTGTTTGTTTACAATATTTCTAGTTGTAGAAATTCAAAACAGTATTATCGACAGCAACTGAGAAAAGTTGATATTCATAAGGTTAAGTTTTATTTCAATTGCGTTGCCAGTTGAACTCGCAACTGGAGTTTAGTGGGCTTTCCATAATCGACCCATAATTTATTTGACATGGTATTTAAAACAATACACAAACATAAACAAAATATGTTTTTTGAATTAATAGAACAAGCCACATTGATAAAAATTGTAACTAGATGGTAGCTATGCCCTACCTTTTATGCGCTCAACGAATTTGGGTAATATAACTCCTTGTACATTAGAACTTTTTACCGGGTTAACCTACTTTATGAGGATTTATTTGACATATATGCAAAGGAAATGACAATTGAAACCCACTGGGTTAACTAAATCCGGTTAAATGTAAACGTACTGTATGATCGGACACCAATGTACACAGGATTTTATTTCGTGTGGCCTGCTGGTCCAATATGAAACTTTTCATTGCAAAAAATATTTTTTTTTATGAAAACAATTATTAATCACTGCGTATGTCTCTGTGCTCTCAAACATTTATCATGGAGAAGTTTAATATTCTTAAACGTTAACGTTTTTAAGTTTTAAATTTCAGGTTTAACATTTAAAATAAAATGGATCACTGTTGCAAATATCCCTTGTAAATATTTGAACGTTATTTAAAAAAAAATATTCAACCCTAAACTTATCGACAGATGTTAAGTCATTTAACATATCGACATCTACAAAAATCGATAAGTCTTCACCAACTAAAATAACGATTTAAGTATCCCTAATTACAATCAGTTGATTGTCAAGACATATTCAATGAGGTATACCAATCAGCTCAGCTGTTATTAGCTTTAACTGTGAGGAATGTTGTTGTAATTTAAAACAAGTGAATAAAAAACAAATTTTCTGAAAATATGATTATTATTTTTTAAATAATATATATTTTAATATTTTTCTAAATGTATTTTTGTAACAAGTTATATGAATAGTTTTCATGTTCAAAATCTTTTTGACACACCAATGTCCCAAACCAGATGTTTGTTGTAACAGATTGCAGATGCATCTACCTTCTTAATGTTACCTTGTTTGATTGTCAATTTTTTTTTTTTGTGCAAATGTCATCTGTGTATTTCGGGAAATAGTCCTGATGTAAGGAGATTTCTAAAATAAACTTTTAAAAGATTTTAAAAGCTAAGAACAAACAGATCAAAAATAATAAATAATTTTAACTTATACACCCTTTTAAAGACGGTTATATACATAATAGTGTTATAATACCAATAATAACAAGGAAGAAAAGAGAAACAAGCAACAAGGATTTTTTTATTAAACCAAACCAACACCCCATAACGAGTGACAAGTGAAGTGTTTGTATGTTGGCCCCCTTTCATGTTTTGTTGGATTTGCTCCCTTAAAGGTGCCATGCATTTCTATTTTCAGTTAACAGCAACAAGAACAAAAGCAAAGTCAAAAAGTCGCCAACCATCTACTATAATATTATGGAGCCTCCGTGTTCATTTCATCCTTGCGATGAGGCTGTGATTGCTACCAATGACGATGCCAGCGATTGCAAACGTGGTGCTGTTCGTTTGGGCTATTGGAAAGATGATTACATTGGATATTTTGTGCGCAACCAAGACCGCAAAGCGCCAGAGATAAATCGAGGCTATTTTGCCAGGGTCAAGGGCGTTGAGATGTGTATTGAGAAGTTCCTGAAGGTCAGCATATTTTCTATTTATAGTTTAACTTCTTCGGGCATTTGTTTGTATGGTGGGTGGAGCTGCCATACCCTGAGGGAAGGGTTGCATTGCCGTGGACAAACAATAGCAACAAAACTACACACAATTGCATTCGGGTTTTTTGTTTTGTTTTAGGCCCCCAAGGATATTTTATACCAGAACAACCGTTTGTTTCAATTAATTTTATTGCTAGCCGACATTTGTTGACATTGGCTGGTAGTTTTAAAATATCCTGTTGCATATTCTTGATAACATTGAGTATGTGTTATAGTCTGTAAACGAATAATATATTTTCAGGTAATGGCATTTTTGAGGATGAAAATATGAAATGTCAAATCGGCTTTTAACCTTAAGGGTCAAAATATGATAAACTGTTAGACCCCTGAAATTTGGAAGAACAGGTTAAAGTGTGAAGAATTCAAAAAATATTTTTTTCGTTGGGATTTATTCGGGTTTCAACCTTATAAGAAATTACGTGGAAATCAAGGGTATTTGTCTAGAACTCGGGAAATACGAAAATTCTCATGACAAATATATTTCGTTACGATAAGATCTCCGTGTTATTCTGGACGAAATAATTTAAATTTATTTAAAGGAATTGGAACCTTGCCATATAGCCAATATCGGTTCAAAAATAATACATCAACTACTACTATTTTTTCGTAAAGCTACCACCAGCTATAAAATCGTTGAGATAAAACTAAAGATGCTTAAGAAACTTTCCAAGTTTCATGTAAAAAATTCCCGCTTTAAATAAAATTTAAAATCATTATTTTTGTCAAAATGTTGTACCTTAGCATTGTACTTGCACGCAAACTTCTCTATAATTCATGTAGCAATTTGTTATACGAAAACTCGGTAGTATTATATTCATTTTTATGTATAAAATTTACTATTACATTATCATTTTAATATATTTTTACCCTCTATTTTAACAGAAAACCAATGGAAATTGTCAAATCATTAATCTAGGATGCGGTTTTGATACACTTTATTTTCGTTTGCGCGATACACCGCATCAAGTGAAAAATTTTATTGAATTAGATTTTCCAACGGTAACTGCACGCAAATGTTATACCATAAAACGTAATAAAGTGCTGCTGTCTAAAATACATGATGAAGATGGTGAAGTTAAGCTAAGTCCAACCGATTTACACGGACCAAGTTATCATCTAATGGGTGTTGATCTTAGAAATATCGACGAAGTGGATCATAAATTGCAGCAGGCCGAAATAGATTATTCATTACCGACAATATTTTTAGCTGAATGTGTTTTGGTCTATATTGAACCAAATAATTGTAGAAATTTACTCAAATGGATAGCCAGTAAGTTTACTAGTGCTGTATTTGTCAATTATGAACAGGTAAGATATTGGCTGATACACATAAATTCAAATAATAAATCCTTTTTTCGCTTATTTCACTACAGGTCAACATGAACGATCGTTTTGGCGATGTAATGCTTAATAATCTACGTAGTCGTGGTTGTAGTTTAGCTGGTGTCGATGCATGCATCTCATTGGAAACACAAATGGGCCGGTTTCTTGAATGTGGCTGGAGTGGCAGTCGAGCCTGGGATATGGTTCAAGTCTATCAAAGTATTCCACCTGCAGAACGTCAGCGCATAGAACGTATAGAAATGTTGGATGAGGGGGAATTGTTGGTACAATTATTTCAGCATTATTGCCTAGTTGTGGCTTGGATAGGCGACCTATTTCAAGATATTGAAATTACGTGCGTTAACGTGTAAAATTTCTTCCTTGTTACCTAGCATTCTATGTGGAATATATATTAATAAATTTTCTTTCTCTCTTGTTTATTCTTCATATTATTACAGGGTTGAGAAGCGAATGTCCTCCTTAAACATCGACTAAACATACAGTGTGATGAAACGAAAGGCTGCACAATTTACAAAAAAATTCTCACATACAGTGATGAAGGAGCAAAAGCATTTTGGTATATTTTGTATATGAAAAAAGCTAAACATAGAGAGTATATACAAAATATTTTGTACATTACTTTTGGTAATCATTTAAATGGATATATAGTCATTTAGTACACCACAATCACTTTGGTTACTATAACAATCATCAGATGAAAGATTTTGTGAACAAACACAAATTGAATTTATAATCAATCCACACATTTACTCATGTTTTTTGATTTTGTTAACAAATTGTAAACACTTAATGGATAAACACCATTTTTGGGGCTCAAGCCTTTTATCACATTATTATTCCTTTTCTTTATTGTTATTTTTTAAATTTATATATAACATTGCAAATATTCAATATAAATTGCTTGATTGTCCATGGTATGTATTATACTTCTATTTTTCTAAAAAATAATAAGTAATAAAAGTAAGTTATTTCAAAGAATGAAACTAAACATTTAATATTTATTCAATATTTGCCAAACAAACACGAATTTTGACACAAACACATATACGTATTCAAAATCAAATTTTAATTGCTTAATTTACTTATTCCTTATTGAAGAAATCCCAAATATATATGCAATATTAATTAAATTTTGTAAAAGAATTTTACATTATTTTTGTATACCTTCCATACATAACAAAATAGAGGAGAGTTGTTCAACTGAATAACTATTTGAGGAACAATCCTACTAATATCTACAAAAATGAGAAAATTTACAAAACTGTATGTGAATAACTTATGTGTCTATTTTCATTAATAAAAAACAAAGTCATATTATTATTCAAATATAATCGTTTATTTTTTATTGTGATTTTGATTTTTGGCTGGGCCAAACCAAAATAGGAACAGTTCTAAATACTTTAAATCGGATGATGGTGTTATATTTTGACAATATACTGTGAGTTTAGAGTTAAAAATGAGGTTGAATATAAATTCTCACCTTAGTCAGAAGGAAACCGAGAGTTCATCATCAACAACGACTGAAGAAAAGATAATACGTAATTAATCCAGATAGCGCCAAAGATTTTTTCTTCAAAATCTTAGATTTAATTTTAAAACTTAAATATTTTATTAATAAATAAGACTTTTTTAATAAAAGTTAGTTTTCGCATGAAGCTAGGAGTGTATAGAACAAGATGGTATTCTTTAAAAAGGACGATGGATTAACCAATGCTATCGTACTGGTTTTTGCATAAGTGATGTAATGGCACCTGAACAATGCGGTATAATGTGGCGTACTGTTATGTGGAAGCTTAAACATTGCGATCTCTACAAACGGACAAACGTAGATCGACATACAATTTTATTCTGATCAGTAATATATGTACTTTGTGGGGTCTACGGTGAATATTTCAGGTGTTTCAAACGGTATGAAAAATTTAACAATGAATAAACAAGCGAAAAGTATGTTAAGTTCGGCCGGGCCGAACTTTATATACCCTCCACCTTTAGGTTGTCATTTAAAATATCAAAAATTAAAAAAAAAAATTGAAAAAACTCGTGTTATGAGATTTCGGAAAAGATGTGAGAAAAAATGTTTTAAATTCTCAAAATATCGAATAGTGAGGCTACCGTAATATTATTGATAATTTTTTGCAGTGAGATTTGGCACCAAATGGTAATACAGAATACCAAATTACAGTCAATTCGATTGAAAACGTTTAAAAATAATCCCCAAAAACCCTGAAACTTAAGTCAATATGAAAATCAAAAATATCCAAGCCCTAAAATACCATTACCCAAATACCGAAACTTAAGTCAATATCTGAAACTTAAGTCAATATCAGAATCAAAAATATCCAAACCCTAAAATACCATTATATTGGGACTTCTTTGAAACTAAAATACCAAATTACTGTCAATTCGGTTGAAAAAGTACCCAAATACCGGTTATTGGGGCTATATGAGGGCTACACTTATATGGGATATACCCAATTTTGTTGAAATAGGCGTTTAATATCTTGAAAATCTTGAAATCTATATCTTGAAATGAAGTTGCAAAGTAATCGAATAAAAATAAAAAATCCTCTAAATTAGAGTAACGTGTATTATTAAATTATATGAGACAAATTTAATAGTGTTGGATTTATTGATTATGCTATTGACCTACAAAATTTATTAACGCGCGTCCACTTTAATTACAAAATGGCTTAACACAATGTGATTATACCCATCATATGTTTGTAACAGAGAAAAGCAAAGGAGATAGACCCAGGTTCCTTTCGAGAATATGCATAAAATCATTTTCTGAGTGTATTTATGCATGTCCGTCAGTCTGTATATGTTAAATTAGCTGTGTCTATTTACTCGATATTTGGTAAAAATTGTTACCAAATGTTACTAAATGTTGCCTGTTTAACCAAAAATCCAGTAAAAGAGAGTCAAATGAGAGAGCAAGTTTGACAGTTCAACAACAACAAACTTAATGGAGTTTACTGAAAGAAATTTATGCAGATTTTGCAAAATCAGTAATTTTTGGATCATCTGTTTTATGACCAAACACACAAATTTTTCAAAAGATTTTTTTTTAATTTGCAAAGTTCAACTTGATATTGAGTTGCATAAAAATTGCAGAAAATGGAAAAATGCATAAGTAATGCAAAGTTTAATTAAATTAGAAGGTTATTCTTTATATTTTTAGGCAAGTTCAAGAAAGAGGACAATAAATTGATGCAGAAAGCTTAAATGTTCCCGGGGAACATACCAAATCAATTTTTCTTTTATTGTTCATTTTGTTTTTAATATCGTCCTTTGTTTGTTTATTTGGGCATGAATAAAAATGTTTTCTTGTTTATTTGCTGAATCTTATTAAAGTTGTCTGTTTACTTTTCTCAGTATTATCGCAAAAGAGAGTACAAACGGGTTTCTCTCTGAACTAGAACTTACTGTGTAAATCTTACTGGAAAAGTAACCAAACACACCTATTGTAAACAAAATTCAGTCGTATTTATAATCCGAATTGGATGAAATTTGATACAGCTCATTTATTTGGCTCAAATGGGAACCTTATTGAAATTTGTGAACTAGAACTTACTGTGTAAATCTTACTGGAAAAGTAACCAAACACACCTATTGTAAACAAAATTCAGTCGTATTTATAATCCGAATTGGATGAAATTTGATACAGCTCATTTATTTGGCTCAAATGGGAACCTTATTGAAATTTGTGAAAATCGGTTCAGATTTAGATGCCATATACATATATTTTCGTCCGATTTTATGCAATTGGTGCACCAAAGCCCCTATATTTCTTTCCAATTGCACGAAATATGGCATAGCGTACTGAATTATGTACAGAATGATATGAGTTAAGTTTCGTGAAAATCGGTTCAGATTTAGATATAGCTCCCATATATATTTTCGTCGGATTTAATGAACACGGTGCACCAAAATCCTTATATATCTGTCCATATATATTTGCTCGAAATTTTGTATAGTATACTAAATTGTGTATAGAATAATGTGTGCTAAGTTGAGCGAGTTTTTCGGTACTGATTTGGATATAGCTCCAATATATATTTTCGTCTGATTTAAGGAAAATAGTACACCTACATATCTTTCGATTTGCACAAATTTTGGCACAGCGTAGTGAATTAATTCTAGAATGAAAATAGGCTCAGATTTAGATATAGCTCCCATATATATTTTCATCCGATTTAATGTAAATTGTGAACTAAAGACCCAAATCATTGGCCGATAGGTACACAATTTTGTACAATGTACTGAAGTTAGTATAACTTTACGTGTCTTAAGTTTTCTTGAAATCGGTTCAGATTTACATATAGCTCCCCTATATATTTTCGTACGATTTTAAATAAATGGTGAATTAAATACATATAGCTAGGCCGCTTGACAACGTATTAAAGATAATATAAATTAATCTCATGCAAGTTGAAATCGGTTCAGATTTAGATATGCATAGCTTCCATATTTAATTTCGACCTTGTACACCTTGTTGTAATTCGCGAATTTCTTGACAAATGGTTAAACAAATTTGTTTTCTTTGCATACTAGTCAAATCACATTGAAATACGGTTTAATAGTCGCGAAAAACAAATAAAGTATGAAAATGTCTGCAAATAAAAAAAAAATAATTTTTGAATTGCCACAAAATATTTTTTTTTTCAATTTTTTATTTTTACTATGGTAAATAGAATACGAGTTTGTCTAGACCTTCTAAAACATGTGACAATTTCTTCTACAAATTTTTTAAGATGATTGTTAAATATCGGTATATTCCTCTGTTAATAGTTTTGATTTTAAAAATTACCAAATATATTGCAGCTACAGTATATAAAAATGATCAACATTAAGAAGCATACAGTTCGCGTATTCGTTCAGATCAGTTGATGCGCATGCGGTTTTCGTATAAACCGAATCATTCTTTTCCAATAATTATGAATTTTTCGAGGTTTCATGAGATATACATTAAACGAAACAAAATCACGATGCGCGTCCTGATTATAAGAAAAATTAAAAAAACTTTCAAAATGTTCCGTTTTCGCGAACATGTTGTTAGTCATTTTCACCCATGCATTTGAATTTATTATTTATCCGAAATCAGCAGTAGCCGCAGCGCTGAATGGTTAGAAAGTGAATGCCGTCCTCGGAGCTCACCTCCCATCCATTGCAGCTGAGGAACGTCAGCTGCCCAGACAAACCAGAGTAGTTTTGGCTCAGTTACGTTCTGGATGGTGCAGTCGGCTCAATTCGTATTGGGCACGGATTGATGACCAGGTGCAGGATGTCTCCCCAGCATGTGGTACAGACCCTCATTCGTGAAAATCCATTTACTAGAACGGCCTAATATAAATATCACGGATTTAAATGTATTTTATGAGAATCATTTCCGTTTCAATGTGAAATTCGTTCCCAGTTTATTTGTATGTTCTATAAAAATTATTTAACATACCCATACACTTTTGGCGCTATTTTAAAGTCGAAAAAATTTCGACTAATAGAAGATTTTTGTAGATTCTGAATCCGACCAATAATGTCGTGAAACTGCAAATGTTTTCAATTTAACAACCACGTAGTTATAATGTTGGGAATAAGAAAATAAGTAAACATGTTTAAAGTTTGAACATTACAATCACTGGAAGAATCACTTTTCCATGGAAATCACTTTTCCATGGAAAAAAATACTTTTGTATTTAATAAATAAATAAATATTGGTGAAGGTTAAATATA